CCTGAACATTTGATTTCCCTGCGGTACGAATACTGAAACCATATTTATCTACCTTACGGAGCCTTTTTTCAGTAGCGTGCTTACTCAAAGGTTTCAACCAAGTTCGGTGGGTGTAGTCCTGGTAAGTGCAAGAATGTCTTCATCCTTCAGCCAAAATGAATGGTAAGATTAAGTATTTCTACTTCCCGTTTCGGTTTTTACCATAAAATTGTTTGCGCATTTCCCTCCCAACCGATCTCTGCCTTAGGAGCTTTGCGAAAAACACAAAAGTCATTAACATACATAGAAAATTTACTATTTGATCCAAGTGGTTCAAATAATGAGAAGTTTGTGGTCAAACAAGTGCACCGGGACACAGCAATGCATGCGGAAACGGGTAAGGGAGTCACCAGTAGACTTTCAGCCAAATCTACAAAGATGAATGAGGGGAGACTGGTTAGGTCCTGCTTGCAATCGAATATGACAATGTCAGGGATGGACTTTGACCATACCTCGGTCGTCCAATGATTGCAAAGTACTCGTTCACTTGCCGCAAGTAGTCTCGCAAAGCGGCAGGATTGTTGAGCACAGATTCGGGTGGGTTCACGATCGAGAGAGGGTCAGCTCTTTTCGCGTAGTCGGTGCTTGTGAGACCATCGTCCATGGCGCCTACAGGAACATCCAACAAACTGTGCAACAGCGGCGAACGATACTGCAGTTGATCGAGCTGTTGCTGCTCCAATTGGCGCCGGAGGGCATTCGCGGCTCGAGCCAACCGACGATCATCGATGTGCACGCCTGCATTGTTTGGTGGAACCATAAAAGCTAGGAGAACTGCTAAATAGATGGACATTGATTTCACGAAGGCGAACATTTTTTTCGTAGTCTAAAAGTAGACGGTAATTAACTACTCATTAGAAAAGCAGTGAGACACATTATTAGGAATGATGGATATTGTGCTGTTTCTCTCAAACTGCTTTACTTTGAATTCTGGCTGAGCGCACACCTTAACCTCGGAAATCTCCTTGAATAAGATGCCCCTACCATTGGACATGAAGTGAATCCTTAAATATGTAAGCAGGGAATTTAGAGCGCACCACTTCGGCTAACTGACTTCCAGCTTTCAATTTAATTGAAAACACGGAGTCATTAATTGGTAAGGTACTTATTGCAATAAAGCCATAAACATTTTGTCAAAGTCTGAAAGCTCAATTGCGAGAGTTAATCAATGCATGTTGGGTTTCATTGTAGCTTAAACTATGGAAGATAAGAGAATTGAAGAGGAACTTGCTGTATTTTGTGATTGCACGACATCCGAACTGGCCTCCACGCACCTTCGGGTTTTATACTTGAGGCTGGACCGAACGGACCAATGGGATGTGTCCAATCAGTCGGACTGCTTGAAATCTCCTCAATGTTCACAGGAAATAGACATGTCACAACCAATTGATAGAGAATCTTTCTTTGTTTTTGACATTTAGGAAAGGAGATTTCAGAAGGGCTATATGCATCCATCACCAATTATAGCGCTGCTGTGCT